AAAAAATATTTGTGACTTGTTGCTAATAACAAAGTACCTAAAGAATCAATTTCTAACTGGTTCTTTGCTAAGTTTGCTGTGAACACTGGTTCTTCTGTTGAGTTGCAGTGTTTTGTTATACTTAACAAATTAATGAAAAGGAGAACTTTCCTCTGAGAATAGTTAGGTACAAGGACTGGACTGAAACATGAATGAAAAAGCAGCCAATGTCCAAAGAGACACTTTGAAAGACCGTTTGAGACCCTCGAGAACTATCGCTCAACACCAAAAACAGAGTCTGTCTCATTGGAAGCAAAATATAAAGAAATGAGGGGTGTCAACTTTTTCACAGTACTATATACACACACACACACTCAACCTCTGCAACCTGTGTCCATTCTTATATGTATAAAAATACATGTTTTCTACTATAATCCTTCACCCCAGGCCTTCTAGGAAATGGGGCATCCATTTAAAAAAGACACTTCCATTAAGCATCATCCTCCCTATTGCCACACTAACGAGCTGAGGGTTTAACAAGCTCATTAAGGCGGGGTCAGTGAAAGACTAATTGTACTGGATGATTGCCCCTGTGGCTTTCTGAACCCAAGGGCTGTGTGACTACTATTAGAGACCGGCTTTTCGCTGTGCAGTGTACCAACACCAACGTACGATAATGAAAGTAGCGTGTGTGTAGACAAAGACGAGACTCTACGGTCTTATAGTTTGCTTTGCATGGCTGTTGAACAACAAGAAATGACACAGAGAAGGACATCAGGAAGTCTTTTTTTCACCACTAATGTGTCTTGTGATACATTAGGAAAGACAGATTTTAAGGGACGGATGCTTTCAGTTTTGCCTCTATTGATGTCACTGCTGGGGGGAGGAGCTGATTCCTTTTCTTTTTGTAAGGAATTTCATCATAAATGAATGCTGGAATAAGACAATGGGCTAATAGAAGAAAAAACTATATGTTTATAAATGTATGAAAGCTTACTTCCTTAAGGCTTACAGTCTTTCTAAAATTCACTGTACTGGCCAGATAAAGAGTCCGGTGGTCATTTTGTTATGGTGTTGTATGGCAGACACTCTTTTTGGGTGATTTGGCATCACATGATCATAGTGTCATCACATTGCTAAAATCACCTCAAAGCTCAGCTCTGCTAATGATTGCTGGGGGCTTGAACTGAACCCCTTTTGATTTCCTCCTGTGTGCCTCTCAGGATAACATTGAGGACAAATTCTTCCCACCCAGCTCCCATAAATGTTAACAACGACCAACATCACCATCATAACGTTTATTGCATCTAACACTTAGTCATATGTCTATGTGCAGCCCAATCTTACCAACAATGAGAACTTGTAGTTTACACTCATCAAGCTAACTACTTGATTAGAAGGCTAAATTATTAATGGAGACGCAGAGGGACATAGTTTAAAAACAGAAAGGAGTCTCTGGATGAAACAGGCTGAAACAGAGATAAAGGGAAAATGACAAGTAGAAGTAAAAGGAGAAAGAGGCGGAATAAAGCTGGCGCTGCATTGGAGAGAGAGAAAAGAGGTGCAGAAAGATGGGGAATTGCTTTGTCACATCATATTTTGTGTTTGTGCTACAGATACCAGCTTATCATCTCCAACACATTGTCCCATCATCTATAAATTACAGGCAGCGGCGGGTCAACGTTGTAATAAAAACAGCGTCTGGAATAATGCATTAAAAATAGCAGCCCCAAATTCAAAGCGCACGTGTCCTCAGGGTCAGGGTAATCTCATCTGGATTGTTAATCCAGCCAGCTCCCTCTCTCCCCAGCTTCATTAATCTGCCACCAGTCTGCGTCTCATTTTCTGTGGACACACATGCAGCACACACGTTCACTCACTCACACTCACACTCAGATTTGGACACAGACACAGAAAGTAAAATTCAGGATTTACACACCAAGTTTCTAATGCAGGCTATATCAGGTGCGACCAAAAGGCTGAGTGATTGTGTCTGTTAACACTTCAGTGTAGTCTACTTGTGGATAGCTCATAGCTTCTGGTGCTCGCACTGGTTTTTAGATCACTCCTGTTTTGTTCTGTTTCTCTATGGATTTGCACAGACAGGATTGAATGGTGACAAAAGTTAGATCTGTGGCTATTATTTTCACACCCACATCACCCAAACCAGAAGGTGGTGCATCAGGTCAGCAGCGTGACCAAAAGCATGCACAGATATGCTTGCTGCGTTGTGAAACAGAACTTGCCCTGCCAGGTCAGACTGTTACGAGCGTGCTGTACTCTTACTCCCTGAGGTCGTGAGCTAGTACGTTCAGTGCAATTTGAGTTAAACGCTCACTTTTAATGTGGTTTAAGGAGATCCACTTTGCTCTGCAGATGTGCCTGCAAGTGGTCAAAATGGGATTTCCAAACATCGCTGGAGTGACATCCATGAAGGAAATTACAAAAACACCACCTGAATTTAAATTTAGGTGGTTCATTCTGCACTTTCTGTTGTTTTTGATTACAGCTTACAGCATGTATTTATTTACAGTCACTATTCATATTAACATCTCTGTATGTGGTTAACTCAAGTTGATTGGTTTCTTGCTGTTTAAAAAGGAATACTGGGATATTCAAGTATACTATGTACTTACCACAGGAACCAGTTCAAAACGTCTTGAACCTGCAGTAATATTTTTGACCACTTGGGGGAGTGCAACAACATGCATACTCCATACAGACCATAAAGAAGAAGCTAATTTCAGCTGCTCCCTTGTCACAAGGGTTCAACACAGCTTTTTGACCAGGATGGCCCCAAAGGGGATTTGTGTCTCTGGCAGGAGTGTCGCGCACGCCATGCGAACATGTCAAAGCTAGCATGTTGGTAAACAGCTGCTTTTACACATCCAGTAGACAACACAGCGTTAGCATTTATTGTGATTCTTGATTAAAGCTGCATTCACTCAGGTATTTTTTAAAACGGGGATTTTCAGCTTTCGTTTGGAAAAAATGGCCTCATGAAAATGCAAAAATCCAAAAACAAACAAACAATATTAAGAGCAGGCCAATAAATATAAATCTAACTGAACAGAAATCTTGGCCAATCATATGCTTCGAAACATAATGAACTGGTGTCAAAAAGAACATAAAGGCACCTTTGATGTTGCAAGACAAAAGTTTCTGTTTCCACTACATGAAAGGGATTCATAACATCTCCATTTTCAATGACCTAAATCATAGTTTACGTGTGGACAAACAGCTAAAATGCCTAGAAAAAGATGACAGATTAGCTGGAATTGGTGATGTTACTTGCAAAGCACCAAATTTAAAAACCAAACATGACAGACATGAACCTCTCTCAGTGTGTCAGGAGGATCAGGTTGAACACATAACTGGAAATCCTCCATTCACTTATGTCAGAGAGCTGCACGGATGGTGTGCAGGAGGCAGCACATGTGACACATCACTGTGAATTTACAAGAGCGTTACCTCTGTTGTCCACACATGTGCTCAATCTTACATCCCTCAGCAGCCTAGTTCTCACGTCCTGTCAAATCATGAAGTATGAAAAAACAGAGATTCCCTACTCACTCGCTGTCTCACTCCATCACTCACTCACTGCCTCCCCCAGCACCGTGCCTCTGCTTAACTTTAACTTTTCTTATCTCCTCCTCTTTTTCCACCTCTTCCTCCTCCTCATCTTCACCTCCCTCCCACTGATGTAACCGCTCTGCATTCTTTTTTCATTCGCTCCCAACCTCTCTGATTCTCCAAATTGTATTTGTTATTTTTCACTCCCTCATGTAATGGCTTTCCTCCCATTGTCTCTCACTCTAACCCCACCACCACACCAGCTCCCTCCCTCGTCCCCTTCCCCATTAGCATTCACGCTCGTGTGGGGCGTGAATGCTAATGGGAGTGCGCGGTACACCAACAAGAATGTTGTGTATTTGAGTGCGCACTCCAGATTAATACAGAACAAGTATTAGTAAAAGATTATTGTAGTTTGAGTGTGTGCATGTTTGTTGTTGTGTGTGTAATAGGCTGTTTGTCATCTGTGTGTTTGAGGAGTCTCTTAGCAAAAGGATGGGAATAGGTGTAGAGCCCCGGTAATGACTCTACTGAGTTCTACTTAAAATGCAAATTCAACTTTGGGAGGCTTTTATTCCACACGCACTGATGCAGACTAGGACAGTCGAGTATCTAGCCACCCCTTCATACACACACA